TCCCAGGTTTAGTTCATCACAGGGCCCCTATATATATATTTCTATATATAAAATATAACAAACAATTGCAGATAGGGCCACTATATATTTTTCTCTATATATAAGACATAAACAATTGCAGATAGGGCCACTACATATATATATATATATATATAATATAACAAACAATTGCAGATAGGGCCACTATATATATATATTTCTATATATAAAACATAGCAAACAAATGCAGATAGGGCCACTATATATATATTTTTCTATATATAAAATATAACAGTAAATTTATCTGTAAACGTTTTTACGGCCAAATTATAATTAATGAGATAGATACTACACAAACTTTAAATTGCAAAATAAGTCTAATGAAGATATTATTAAAAACTTGTTGAAAGCTATAAAAATTGATGTTAAAACATATTCTTACGAAAGATAGGGCCACTATATATATATATTTCTATATATAAAACATAACAAACAATTGCAGATATGTAATACTTTATGATAATTTTGAAGACACCAAGATAAAGACTGATTTACGAGATCAAACTACAGCACCTTTAACCTCACATATTAAAGTAACATCTTAAACACATTAACCTGCTAATTTAAAGGAAGATATAGGTACATGAGTCAGTGTGAGGTCAAATGCGGTTGGAGTTCGGGCTTTTAAATCATGATTCAACTGTTACAAGAGTGTAAATTGCTTGCGATAGTAATAAATGCTAATTGAAATTAAAAATCAAAAAATACCTGTATCGAATATGGTTATTGTTGCGTGTGTGCTTCTAAAACTTAACATCTAACAAACATATAATTTTACAATGTACTCAATAGCTAATTATTGTAATAAGATTACTTTTAAGAGTTATGAATGTTTGTCGAGATTTCTTATCTCATTTCGCTATTCACAATTATCTTAAATTGCAGTCTCCCTAATTTCAATAAAATAATTTAGTAATTACAAAGTAAAATTACTTAAATATCTACATTGTCGTTATTTCTTTATAAAGTTTAATAGCTCCCAGGAGATTTTCTTTATACAAATGAATTATTCTTGCATGATGTAAACCTCATTCAGAACTTCTTTAATGTATATTTATTTTCATTTTCAATAAAAAAGCCAGGTGGCGGAGAAATATGTCATTCACCCACGAATGTTGGCTTATTAATTGTTTATAATTTCGAGTTTTTTATGAAATTAAATTGAATTCCAGAACATTTATGTTAACAATATTTGCTTTCCTTGAATACGCTTAGGGATTCCAGCTTCCTCTCACAATTTTATCAAAATTGCTAGCTTTCTACGGTGTTTACAGTTTCCAATGGATCGTATCCTACAAATCTGCGATACTAATAATAAATCTCTAAAAACTAGGTTTAGGTTTAACTGTTAAATACAAAATCATATATTTGATAGCAGATCAGTGTTTTCAATGTTTTCATGTTTTATCTCGTAGTTTTACTTTATTTGAATTGATCTCCCACTTATGCTGGAAATGTCTTTTACAAGACTATGTTTTAACTTGTACCTAGCCTGAAGTAAAATAAAATAATATTCTACATACAAATGTCTCATCGTTCTGGGAACTTTTGTAGTGAAAAACAACCAGTTGGAACAAGTATTGTTATAAAATATTTGCTGTGGTGCGATTTGAAATATAGTTTCCTGTATATTTTTATATCTACCTTTGTTAACTTCTTTAACGTGGCTCATTCCTATTTTTCTCTCATTTGAAATAATTACGTAACGTTTCCTCATCCATATACTTCTGAAGTTACTTATATCAGTTATTATGTTGTTTGCATGCAAAAGTAAGCAAAATATCAAATTGTACATATTCAAAAGCTAAAGAGTGTGCAAATTTAAAACAAATGTGTAAAGTTCGTCGTCAAGCAAAATTAGAATGTTGTTATTTGATTCTAATAATGTTTGCTTTGTTCATTTCCCGTATAAAAAACCCCTTAAGTTTTTAGAAAAAATTACCGTCTTTACCAATTTACTGTTTCAATATATTAAAATCCCTGTTTTTTCATTACGTTTACTGGTGCAAAAAGTTTGAAACAATATTTACAAGTAATACGTGCAAAAACAGAAGCATAACATAATTGCACACTTCTTTTAAAGCTTTATTGAATATACATTTGATTCTACATCATGCATAAATACAATTGAAGATTTTTGTAACTGTTTACTCACTGGAATTGTATACGTTCAAGAGTCGTTATTTTTAAATGTACGTTGTGTAAAATATTTGATTTAAATAAAATATTTATATAAATTAAACATTGATGAAATGACTGTGGTTGAGAATAACGACTTAATATTATTAATGCTTGTCTTTGAACACAAACTGCTTTAAGTTATGAGAAGATATATTGATATTATACTGACCATTCTTCTTGACGAACACTTATTTTTAATATTTATAAACTCTGTAACACGTATAAAGAAAGTCTCTTTTCATTTACGTCAGTGTTATTACCACAGTGATGAAGCTGTAGTTCTTCAAGTAGCTAATATCACAACTCATTCCTATTCAAACTATGCATAACATACAGTCAGTGGAATACATATATAAATGGATTAACATAGAAATATTTGCTTGAAGAATATGTGACAAATCCTGAAAATTATTGTTCATAACTATCTGAACATTTTAAAACAAGAATTAAGTGAATTTATGAAACTCGATTATATGTATTAACAAAACAAATTCAATACCAAGTGAGTAAAAGTTACTAACAACCCAGTAGTTAGTAATAACTTAAGTATACTTCAGTCCAGTGTCAGTTGTTTAGAATAAAACATTAAGAAGTAGGGAATCACGAGCTTTCCTTAAAATAAAAGCTTTACATACCTTACGAACTTTGAGTTTAAGTAGAAATATATCAATAAAACGTTCTCCGAAGATAATTTTATATTATGAGAGCGTGTTGTCAAGGGGAACCTGGATTTCGACCGAACAGTTTATCTGTTAATATTTAAATAAACAGTACACATTTCAATTCAGGAACTTGTGATGATTGTGTGGTTCTCCGTCGAGTTCTTCCTCCGATTATGGTCTACTGGATGCCGATCTCACTATCAAGGTTGGCTGGGTCGCCTTCGATTCCTACGAAGTCCATTTTGTGTCATAGGTAAGTTAGTTAGATTCTAGAATTGGGGAAATCAAAGACAATTGTACTATTCCCAATTATATTTGTTTTGCTTAATTCTGTAATTATGTAGTTTGAAATATTAATTATAGTTGTATTCTTGTATTTCAGTGTAGTTGTGGGGGGGGGGTAGTATTAGTTACATGTAAAAATTCATTTTAAGAAACACAAGCACAAATAAAACTTGTTTCAGGATATGTAGGATCTATTAAGCTCGTGAAACCGATATTTGCAGTAGGATGAAAACTAATAAAAAATAATCCGATTGCGATAATTGATATTGACTTGGGTTTAGTATAGATTTCAGAGTTGTCTAATTACCTGTAATTAATGTTTCGAAATTAGTTTTATTCTCGTTATCATTTCAGATGTATTAATGGCTACATAATATAAAAGTGTAAACACTATAAGTACGTTAGTTATCATAGTTTAGTTGAATCCTTTCTTAGAATAGGTTTCAGCTAAGTTGAAATAATAATTATTTTTAATTATCTCTGGTAGAATTGATTCCTATTTTTTCTCTAGATATACCTTATGAATAAGTGACTGCACTCACTATAAATTTTACTATCAGTTCTATACAAAATGTAATATATATATATACATATTGAGCTGTTGTACCGATATTTGGCGAAAAGAAAATATCAAAATAAATTTGTTAAGTTAATGGTTTTAGATTTTACTTGTTATCGCTTATCCATTAAGCAAACTTACCACTTTTTACACCTATTTTTGGTGATGATATTATCTGTTTTTACGTACATATATATGGTGTGATGTTTGCAGATGTAAAACAATTATAAATCATAAATTATATTAAGTAACTGTGGACACTATCATTTCTCAAGTATGATAGTGGAAGATCTAAAACCTGTTAAACTGAAGAGTAAAGTTATGGAAAACAATTTTTCAACTTAGCTTTGATCTTCCGTTCTATCATGGTTTGATGAGTTAAATTTCAGTACGATTGATTCTGATTCCGTTACAAGATGTTGACTGAACTATACATTATATAGATTAATTTAATATAAAGTCTGAATATCATAGCCGATCATAAACATACGACAAAATAATAAGATATGTTTCGTTTAATAATGCACAACTATTTCAAACTTAAAGTTAATAAAACTATGTGATGGATTAATGTATTGTTCGTACTTGTAAACACACCAGTATAAAGTTGATATTTATAAGATTGGAAACATTATTCACTACATGCGCAATTTGACTGCTCGATTCTTCCTTACGCTCAAGCTGGTTTCCACACAGGACCAACTTTATATGGTCTCAAATTTCATTACCAATCACTTTAACATAAATAAACCATCGTGTTTCCTTTTCTTTGACTTTACCCAAGCATCTGACACACTTTGGATTCGTGGATTGTTCTATAAACTTCGATCTTTGTATTTTATTATAGCTAGGGTTATCAGATTTCGCAGGAGAAAAATATTTTTTTCCATACTGAGTGACACTGTAAAAGCTCTGAAAAATATTACATTACAGTTTGGATTAAAACAACACATTTATTACCATTTGTATTATGATGATTATTGCATTGCATTTCAGAGCCAAAGAAAACCAAAATTTCTTAATAGCTTATATAGTTACAAAAGCAAATAATAAAATAAAAAACGCATCTACATCGTCTTGAATTTAGTAAAAGGAAAAAGGTTTTCACTTTGTTTTGTTTTTTTTTCTACATCTGGGCAGGACTTCAAATCTCAGTTGCTGCGGCTATTCAATGATAGTATAGGTTAAGAAAACGTAGCAGAGAAGGAAGGAATGCTGTACTGAGTGATTTGTCTTTCTGAAGTAATTCTCCAAGTAAAATTTAAATGAGTTATGTATGATAACAAATTGTACATATGAAAAAACTCGCGTCCCCCTATGGGACAACGGTAAGTTTACGGACTTATAATGCCAAAATTTGGTCTTATGACAAATACAAGTGGAATCATTCTCCGCCAGCTTGTAAAAGACGTGCATACCATAGCAATCGTTGTTGTATCAAATGGTTTATATAAATGGTGGTCCGATCAATACGGTGTTTGTTGTATCTCAGAGGACCTAAAGAGCTTTGGGTTGAGCGAAACGAGTAATCGGAAATGGGTATGATAAATATAGTATTGTTGGAATACTGTTTTTCGTTGTACAAAACTTGAAGATAGCTTTGATATATGCAAACATCTGTTAGCTGAGTTCTTGCACAGATCTTAAAATATAACTTTCATAAATGAAAACATTGGCTCATGTAGATACGTAGATCTTGAAAGTCTAGTTGTTCAAAACTTGAAAATAGCGTTGATAACTGGAGCAATTGTTGATTGAGATGTTGCAAAAGAAATATCTGCTGAAGCTTTTCACCAGACACTAATCATAGCAGAACCGTCTGGAAAATGATCTATGGGAAATAGTACAGCTTATAAAATGAGTCACATCAACGTAGGCCGGTAAGGCAATCACTGATTGGCAAGTCCTTAAACCAATCAGGAAATGTCACAGACCTACTGAAGGATGTGTAGATTGTATAAGAATTATTTTTGGCGGCAAAGGACAAGTTTATGTGTTTTAATAAAGGTGGCTTCCAATGGTTGACAGACCATTTGCAATAGTTTTAAACCTGCTATCCGCGTAGTTGTCAGCACAAGTCGGGTTCGCTAGTAAATGCTGGCCAATCGCTGATTCACCTTTTGGTGGTAGAGCTTTTGTTTTACAGGAGCGACATGGTAAATTATTTTCTTTCACAATTTGGTTTCTTATGGATGTGGGTTGTTTAATTCTATCCTGCAGTCTTTGTGAAGTGCGACCTACGTACCAACATTCGCAGTGGCACGAGAATTAATAAATAACCATACTTTTCGCATCTTTATGTGTTGCAGGCAACAGCTTACGTGTGGAATAAGCACAGTGGGGGTTCACTGGAAGAAAACATTTAGTAATGGCCGTTTTCAATTGTATTTCAAATTTTGTTGAAATGTTACCAATCCATGGTAGTTTTAGATAAATAGGACACCTGTTGGGACCAAATTTTGGGGCAGTTGAGAAGCTCGCAATTTTCCTTGAAGTAATTTGATTTATGACGTTTTCTGGATACCCATTTTCTAGAAAACTAGTTTTAATTGTCTTCAATTCGAAATCTAGTTTAGATTTTGAACAGAAAACTAGAGCACGATGGACTAAAGTAGCAATAAGGCTCGTTTCGCGACTTTTGGGACTGAACGAATCCCATCATTGTCCTGTAAAGGTAGGTTTTTCTGTATATATTGGTGAGAAAACGAATATCATCTTTTTCAACTAAAACGTCTGGGAACGGTAAAGAGTTATGTTGTTCCTTTTCGAAAGTAAATTTGAGAGCAGAGTGTAGATCTTGTAAGAAACACTCACATTCCTGTTCAGTTTTAAAAATGGCAAATGTCTACATAGCGGAAGTAAACAATAGTTCTTTTTCATAGAAACCAACGAAAATATTGGCTAAGGCAGGTCCAAGAGGAGAACCCATGGCGATTCCGTCAATCTGTTGATACAAGATATCATTAAAGCTGAAT